CGTTTCCTTGCTTTCCCAAAAGTTGTTTTCATCCAGAATGGACTGTAGTTTCGACCTCGCATAGATCCTATCAACACTCCCAGCGGGAGACGAATCGCGACAATGCAGAATGTAAGGTTGACACGTTAACCACTCGGTGACATTGCCACGAGTGCCCTTGGGTCACAGGGTAGATGCGAATTTCAAGGAAGGCCAGACCTTTTGCCATATCATATTCTTTGGTGGGATTGTCGATGAAGCAAATGTATTTTCGCTATAACAATCGACTACGTTACTTATTTTTCGTATGTAAGTAGAGTTTCGAGAGAGATGAAGTAGGTCAACTACCAGTTCTTCATCACCTTAAACGAAATAAGGTGAATACATCCCATTACTGATTTACTGGTAGTCTCGAAACTCTACTTACATACGATTGACCTATGTTAAATATCATACGTGGAATTACGTGGAATTACCAAGAAGGCCAAGACGGTGTGATATCTGGTTTCGCTGAATAGAGTGAATTTGACCTATTTTTGCGAACATAATCGTGTTTGCAGGTTGGCGTCTAAGAATATATCCTTCAAAGCATCCTCCACCAATGTTTCCATGCCTTTCTCCAACAATCCTTAGTCGGCATCTTCAGTTAGATGCAACTCTTCCTAATGACAAATACATGACCAATTTTCTGTTGAACTGTCGTGGCATCTCCCATTTCTATTCTTACCTAGCACGTCCAATCCCATAACGTTTTTTCTACATCCATCAGTCCCATTTTCTATGACCTACCTTTCTTTCCGCCTCTCGATGCATTCTCGTCTCTTCCAATACACTCTAGACGTGCGATCTCCGAGAGGGTCTAATCATTACAACATTGATTGCAGCCTGTTGCTGGATTTAGTAAACCGACCGACTATAACGTATCACTCAAAGAGTAGGATTCTCTTTTTGGATGTAGCAATTTTAACTCATGCTTAGCTATTCGTTATATCTTTTTTTTGAAACTTGTCCGTACATTTATGATGATTTAAAATGACATGTTCCACTACTTTCTTCGGCACTTATTTAATACTTTCATGTCATAAATCAACATTTTTCGGATTATTCGAGAGCATTCTAGATGGCCTTTCCTTCACAAAGTATTCTCCCAAACGTTTTATCCCTGCATTTACTTTTCGAACCAGTTCTTATTATGGCAAAGAGTGATATATCTACACTTGCACTACTAAAGCCTTCTGGCAATTTCGAGGATTTCGGTTTTAGTAAAATACTTTTACGAGAGCCAGAGCATTAGACAGTCCCAGTCGAAGAGATGCTAGAATAGGAACATATTGTCTCTACGGCTGCTTATAATTGTGCCAGGAAGGTTGCCAGACTTGAAGGTAATTTTACAATGTAACTCATTATGGGCCCTGATTTGTCTCAAGAACCTCTTTATGTAACCTAATTTTAGATGAATTACTCAACCTATTGTCAACCATCATGCCCTAATTAACGAAAGTCCGTCTCTATCTGCCAATCTTCTTCCAGTTTGAGGCTCACCCTTTAGTGTATTGCTCCAAATTCGACTACCCAGCTAATGATTCAAGCTAACGAGTCAAGAAAACTCGTCATACAACGGACGAAAGCTTAGCACGCTTTTACCGGAATCGAAGAAAACTGCCTCGGCATTGCTAACAAGAATGTTCTAGTAAAGCCAATTCAGAATTGGCCAAGACAAATCCGCCGTCTGCCTCCAGTGAGATCGACTATCGTAGCTCTTTACCAAACACTTTAGACCCAAATGGAAGTAAGCTGAGTATTTATAAGCCAAGTTATACCTCGAAACCCAACTCTTCTTCACGTAATTGCAATAGCCAAGCACTGCTAGTCACTGCAGACTCAACCTTATTTGGTGTGAAATAGTGATCTCCTTGACGATTTAATCTCCTTTCTTTTTGTGCCATCAGATTGCTTTACTGAGACTATTCTTGCGTCTGCTATGGTTCCCTCATATGCATGTCCTTGGGATACCTCTCATTTTACTCAATAACGACCCTACTACGGGCGCCCTCTATTAGTTCATTGTACCGAATTTTCGCTTCATTCTAGCCTGGCTAAAGTTATTTAGATACGAAGAGAAACTTGGTTTCGATGAATCTCCTGAGATAACATTGTTAGGGGGACCTT